TTTTGGCAGAAAAGTCAAAGTCACTGTTATTCAGGATATCCTCAATTGCTTGGCCACCCATATTCAAGCTGAAAAAAGTCGCATATCTCACAAAACAAATCCTTAGTCCTAAAGTACTCTTATGTGTACCATTAAAACAAGACAACAATTTCAAGATAAAAAAATTTAACGAACGTAAAACTCGCCTTTTACACGTTAGTCCAATAGTAAAATATCGAACTAAACTGAACAATTTGATTCTATAACAAAATTCAAATATTGCAAGTAGATGTCACTTAAAAAATTTTCGGCGAACAATTTTAAATGAAACAAGTGAAGAAGGGCTAAGTTCGGTTATAACTGAACATTATGTAATCTTGCAACATGTAAGGATACCAAAAGGTTTTATCCGAATATATTCATTGGCGCTTGATTTGTGTAGTGGAAAGTGAAAGAATCATATGGAATTTAAAATTGTGCTATATGTGAAGTAGGCGTGGTAGTAGTCCGATTCCACCCATTTTCACAATGTGACATAGGATCGTCAGGATTATGTTATACACTAAATTTGGTTGAAATTGGTCGAGTAGGTCCGAAGATATTTGATTTCACCTAAATGTGGGCGGTGCCACGCCCATCGTCAAATTTTTACCCCGACACCCATAAAGTCCTCTTGTATCATCCTGGGTGTAAAATTTAATGTCTCTGGCGCACTTGTTTATTGATTTATCGCGCTTTAAGTAGTTTTTAACGAGACCGTTATATAGGAAGAGAGCATAGTTATAATCCGATTTTATCCATTTTATACTGTCGGAAAGGCTTCTTATAACATTTGTCCTAAGCGGATTAGGTTATTGTAGCTTCAGTGGGTTAGAAGATACGTACATTCAACCTATTAGAGGGCGGAGCCACGCTAATTTTTTCAAAACTTTTAGCTCACAGACAACACAACTGCAATCCCCTGTACCAAATAACAGGTTTATATCTTAATTTTACATGGTAACCCTATGGCGGGCCAGAAAGGTCGCACTGATAATGCGTGCAAAGTGATTTCAATAAATATTCAAAAGGAGATTATGTTGGTGAAATGCTTGTAATTTGTCCGAAACAGGAACATGAAGATCTAACCTCAAAAAAACAGCTTGATGTAAACATACTGGATGAAAACACCAGAAAAATAATCACGCAAATACCAAAAACCTACCAAAAAGAGGAATTACGTAATGATCTATGCCACAACTTAACACTCAATACATCAAAAAATATTGCAGATGTATCTGACCTTGATCTTGATGAAGTATCAGCTCTAAAAATGGAAAATGAACTACTAAGACGATGCAGATTCTAACATGTAATAAAAAACCTCTTAACAAAAATTTGAAATGATGGATAATTAACTTATGAATATAGTAAATTTTAGCTATCTATTAAGTGTCTCTTTTTTGCTCTTACTTGTTATAATTTATAATTTGTATATGTATTTGTATAACTTTGTTACGCAATATTTAGTGTAATATACTATTATCTATGCTAGAATATTAATAATATTAGGAAATAAGCTGTTAAATATAATATATTGTATTTGTAATGCCCTGGTTCTAGGCACAGATGTTAAACATCTCTATAGACTTGTACCAGAAGAAATAAATAAATAAAAAAATTTAGTGCTGAGTTATGGCATTTTATAGGTTTTCGATTATTGAGCTTTGTGGGCGTGGCAGTGGTTTGATTACGCCCATTTAAGAACTCGTCCTTAGCTTTTTGCTAAGGAACACGTGTACCAAGTTTTAGTAAAATATTTTAATTTTAGTTAACGCTTGCACAGACGGACGGACGGACAAACAGACAGTCACTCGGAATTCAACTACAAGTATATATATATAACCCTATATCTAACTCGATTATTTTTAGGTGATACGAACAACCGTTAGGTGAACAAAACTATTATACTCTGTACCAACATGTTGCAAGAGTATAAAAATTACACGACAAACTTTCTCTCCAAGCCCTCTATAGACTTATATCGAAACTCTATAAGCTATAGTAACTCATTCAAGTACTAACAGCAAAAGATGTCGCTACTAGTTTTAATTTTAATAAATTCAGTAAATTGAAGGTACGAATATGTATGTATGTGTACCCACGGTCCCAAGAGGATAGGATTAAAGCGATTCGTTGATACATGAGGACTTTGTTATTGTCTACCTACAAAATTTTTGGCATCATAATGGATTGGTGCGATGCTTCAGGTGATCAAGTTTTAACACAACCTAAACTCAAAACCTTAGAGTTAGGTGTTGACCCAACTTAACTTAAAAGTTCGTTTCGTAGTCGACGTAATGTAAATTTGTACTATATTCTTGCATTATTGCCACAACTTGGAGAAAGTTTCATTTTGACATATTTTGTCTCTGCGTCAAGAAGAAGATTTTACACTTTCAGGATAACCTTAAGAATTTCAAGACAGTAAACAATGAGTTTGAATCCGATCGCAGCAATATACATAAATATATTAAATTCTGAAATAATTAATTACAAAATGTAAATGCTTTACAGAAGATTATGAAATAAATAATATTATGTATGTAGGTATATACAAAAAATAAAGTAAACAATAAAGTCATAAATTATGAGAGAATAATTTCATTAACTCATCATAAGTTTATGACATGCGAATGAACTCGAAAGGTTCTAGTACACTGCATTTGAATAGAAATCCAAATAACTTTAATTATAACGAGCAATTAAAAGCAGAGACTTATCATGAAACACATATATACACATATAATTATAATGTGCTTATGTATCTAAAAGTATATAATATTTACTTGAGGTTTTGCGCATATCAATTATTTAACTCATAACTTGCGGTAAAAGTAACAATGCCGAGAATAAAATTACTTTTGCACATATCCATACATACTCTTATATATATGTATGTACCTTTTTATGAATATGTGTAAAAAATAATTTTATCTACACCGTCGCAAAAGCAAAGAGCAACAGGTAAAGTGCTCATAAGTAACTGCAATTAAATGCAGACAGTGAAAAACAAAGAAAATTTGCCATGAATAAAAGCAATTGCAAATATACAGCAAGTGTCTAATTTTAGCATACTTGTGACGCGTGCAACTAATTCACAATCGCCAAACAATTACATATGTATGTCATACTACTCACAATATATAATATAGGGTGTTTTTTAAGACATGTGGTTTTCAAGAAAAAATACAACGGATATAATTTACTGTTACGGCCAAGAACTTAGCTGTATTATAAAGATATGGGTTTGCCATTCTGTTCCCAAATAACTGCGGGACGGCCGTTTTGAATTAGGCCGAGAGACCGAATTTTCGATCATTTTTTGCAGCAAATATAGGCGTCAATCGTCTCAGACTTATCTGCGTAGAAAAGCGACTTCACATAACCAAATAAAAAATAGTCCACACCACAGACCCACGACACGAGATAATGCACTCACCAAAAGTTTACTTCAATAAATTGATTGTTGGCTGTTTGGCATGCAGCGTCGTTTTTTTGGAACCAAAAGTCGTCCACATCAACATCCTCCAATTCAAGCACGAAAAAGTAGTTAATCGTGGCTCGTGGCGATCCCCATTCACTGTAACGGCTTCACACCAAATTTTGAATAAATATGGACCAATGATTCCCTCTGCCCATAGAGCACACCAAACAGTGACTTATTAAGGATGTAAGTGCGGCCAAATAATTTCTTGTGGATTATCATCAATCCATAAGCGAGAATTTTGTTTATTAACGTACCCTTTTAACCAAAAGTGTGCTTCATCGCTGATCAAAATTTTCTTGTGAAAATCGAACATTATTTTGTTAATAAATTTGCACGATTTGCAAACGTTGTTCTGGGGTAAGTCTGTTCAGTATGAAATTGTAAACCAAACTAAGTATAAATCAAGTAACAGCTGTCAAAAAGACCAACTTCAAAAAGAGGATTGCCTCATTGAAAACCACACATCTAAAAAAACACCCGTTATATGGTATCACACTTTTTCTGAACACGCGCACCTATACACAAAAAAATTTGAGCAAATGCACAAGATAAAATGCACTATATATAATAAATGTATTTACCCTTATTTTACTATTCCAAAAAGGAGTAAATAATTGATTTGATTGTCTTTTTGAGAACGCAAATACCTGAACATATTTATGAGACCTAATACACGTGCACCCAGGGTGAATCAAAACAGGATTTTACGGAGTTGTTATCAAATAAGCAATGCAATTCGTTCTTGCACAGTGTATATTCAAATTCAAAACAGTTATATGGAAAGGTCTATTTAGGTTAACTATAGTAGTTTTTAGAACAATTTTTGTTCTTTAATAACATTACAAACAACGATTTTAGACCATTATACTAATATAACGATTTGCCAATATCTGAAAATATTCTCCCGCCTTCGTCCTTTCTTCATTGCTATACCCTGAATAGGGGATATTAAGTTTGCCACAAACTTTGTAACACCCAGAAGGAAACGTCGGAGACCCAAAATATATAACATATAAGAATAAATTATCAGCGTGACGAGCTGAGTCGATTAAGCCATGACCAACTATATGCCCGTCTGTCCGTCCGTCTGTCGAACTAGTCCCTCAGTTTTTGAGATATCGATCTGAAATTTCGCACCCATCTTTTTATCGGACCACTACAAACTAAACGCTCGGAATAAAGTTCTTGTATGGAAATACTTTTCATTTCATTTGGTCGTTTTTCGAAATACCTTTGTTCAAAATTTGAAACTAGTATTTACAATTAATACAGTATTATACATACTTGAAACACATTACATCTGTGTATTCAAGTCATGAATTAAAAAGGCAAAATCGCGACATAATCTCTATTTGGCTTATGAGGTTAGTTAAAAAATTCAAAAACTTAAGAAATCACAGCCATTTAAATGGTTATGACGTAAAGTGTTCAATACAAACACAACTAATGCTATTGATGCACCCATTACTGTACTTTACATGTTTCAGCTTACCTCTAGACGAAGATTTTATTTTTAGCTGTTTGCACCCTTTCGCCAATTGAAATGGTTTTTATTGGAAAAAAAATTTGAAATTATTTTTTGGGTATTAGAACGACAACTTTTGTTTGTTTAACTTAAAAAACACTACACTATGAAAAATATTTAACTACATCAGTTCAATATTGTATGAACAAATTGTATTACTCAAAACGGCAATTTCGACATAAAAGCTTCACAAATAAACTAAAAGTGGCGAACAACGCTGAAACAACTGCGATCAGTGATATGCAAAAGAGAGATCTGTGGAAGTTAACTAGTTAATGTCTAAAAACTGACGCGCTCACAAGCTTACTGGACCGAGTTAACTGTAGAACACATGAAAAAAGTTTTAAACTCAGCAAACACTAAATCAAACCGTAGAGAGGATGTGCTATGTGCATGCACGGCTATAAATTGAAATGGATGAAGATAGTGAAAGAAGAGATAGCTTTGTAGTTTTGTTACTCGAAGCAGTACTCTAATGATCAGTAAGAGCTTAAAATCACAAAAAAATAGAGTAACAATTCGGTTGAATTACGATTCTGTGATATTGTTACTCAATGTTTCTTACAATTTGAGACCACCATTTGACTCAAGCATGTTATACTTTATAATATTTCTCCGAAAACAATAAACGATGGCAAGTAAAAATTTACGGACATAATGATATTGTGTGGGATCTATAATATACAGGGCAGGCTGAATGGTTTGTTTTAAATTGAAAATTCGAATTTCTTACTATTGAACATCAATTCATTGTTGCTTTTAGTCATTTGTGAATTCCAGCAGAACCCAATTTGCACAGAGCTTTCGCAAACCCAAATATTTATGAGTACCACAATACTACGAGAGCTGAAAAGAATTTGACTTGAATAAGTCACAAACAAAAAACATCTATACATACTTACTATGTATGGTAAAGCGTTTAACCAGAACTTATTCGGCAACATGCTGAAAATGGTTTTCTAAATATCTGGTTAGCAACCATCCGTCAGTTAGGTTCTCGTAAACTTTACCGAAAGAAGGAGTCTTGGTTAGTTTCTAACCAGAACATGAAATCACAGCTGTCAGCTGTAAAATCTATAAGAAAAATCAGCTGCATAGACGGTGTTCCGACGGTGAATATTCCTCTGAAACCAAGCACTGTTGCAACCTCGAAAGTAATTTCAAAATCAAAAGAATTGCGTAGCATCGAGCTGTTACGGAAAAGAACACAAAGCGTGCCACTCGTGTTCGGGTCTCTTCGTCTTTTCTCGCCCTCCCCTTGCCAACGTGTGTTTTCCCCACGCCGCGTTTACCTTGTAACTCAATCTTTAGTTCGATCACTGGATTGTTAAATAAAAGTCCCAATTTAATGGCTATACACTTATCTTTTTCTGATAGGGACAAACCACCGTTGATACAAAGCACTGATAAGTTTTACAGCAAATTCAACGGGAAAGTATTGGTTTGGTGAATTTCATTCTAATCGCACCAGCACGAATGATGGACCATGTTCAGAAAGGCCACACGTGCAATAACGCCAGGAAGCATCGCCAAAATTTGTGAAAGTATTTTGGGTGACCGTAAAATGAATCTGCTTAAGATAAGCAGCATCGTTTGCATCTGAAAGAACTACTACAAATGAAAACTCATTTCGCAAAATAGGTGCGATATTCGATATGTGATACGACCGATAAATTAGAGGCACCTATTACGTTAAGAACTAGTCCCCACATTATAAGCAAATGTTCTCTCACAGTTAGGCCAAATGCTTTTAAGATGTTTCTAAATTAACACAAATTAATTTGCCTTTTGAGAAAACATCCATATTTGAAAAGATGTTCTGGTACACATTGCATCAGTAGAAAGTACCGAACTTCACACCAAAATTCTGAACCAGATCGAGTCTACTAAATGTTAGATTCAGTACGAACTTAGAATTTTTTGTTAATTTTTATAAAAACAAATTTAAATATCAACATATCATATTTCATATGCTATTATCTCATTTTAAATATCCGAATATGTATATTTAAGTGGGAGAGTATTGATTAGCATAATTATGAATAAAAATTTAGTTAATTTATACTTGTAACCACAATTTTATGACCTTATTAGCATGAAGCTAAAAAGATATTATTACTTTTGTTTGAAGATTTAACAGATACATATACATGTACATATGTATAATTTTCATTTTATTAACATTGGTGAATTTTAAAAGTTTGATTTTGTAAATAGTTTAATTAGGGACATTACATATAATAATTTCACTTCCGAGTCCATCAGTCCCATCTAGTTAGTTCACCGCTTATACAGAAATACCACAAACCTGTGATCTTTTTAGAATCTGAATATTCACAATCATATTTCGCTGAGGTTATAGACGGAAAAGGGGATGGTATAGCGTGAGAAATAAAAAAAATTAAGCGTGACCATATCAATCGATGACTTTAAGGAGCATTCGTTGCACACGTTCTTGTAAAAGAGAATCCAACAAAATAATCTGAACCTAATAAAGTTTATTCATGAAACCATTATATCATAAAAAACCATTGAACCATCATCAGCAATGAGACTGTCCACCTAGAACTACGAGTACATCGATTATTAAGTGTACGGCTCAGCAGGTACAGCCTTGAAAGATAAACATTGTGTGCTTTAAATGGAAGCTCTATAGCCTAGTCATGCAGTTGTTATTCCGCGGTCATTAAGAGGCATCCGGAGGCGGCTCATTCGTGACGCCTGTTATTCTAGGCTCGTTGGTGGTCGCTGTTTCGATACATACAATGGCAGTTGGCATTAAGGTGCAATAATCGGAGGAGGATGTGACAGTCATGCCTTCAGACGGAGGGAGAGTTGTACTAAGCTTCTAAATCTTAAGTACCGGTCAATTGAACTCTCCTAATTTAGGTGTTTTACCTAATTTCAGGACTGACATCTCATTACCGTTCTTCTATATCTACGGAATAATCATTCTAAGCTGAGGGGCTGTGTAAGGTACTCGAGTCAAAATGTATATAGTTGTTAAATTTTAGCAAAGATACTCAATACTGGCTGATCGCGGGCTGTGTTCCTCCTATGTGCGAATCTCTGTTGTCTTGAATGTAGAATGTTAATTATGGATATTCCCACCATGTATAATAAAAGCTCAACAGAATAAAAGCTCATAGAATAGAAATTAGGTGAGTTTTGCACCGCGACCTAGGATCTATTGAGACCTAGTCTCCATCACATGTATTCCCAAAGGCCCAACACTCCGACGAACTTGCTCTTGCTTAAACACTCCTGAAGCTGGGCTCTATTAAGGTGATGTTCTCAAAGTAGGAGTGGACCAATAATCTTAACTACAGAAGAGCATGTGGATCGGAAGATAGGATTTCTTAAGTTCGCATTTCAGCTGGGTATAATGATAATGATGTGTTTTGTGAAGTACTCGACTCCAGCTGATCCTACTTCTTTTCGAATTTTTATCAACTTCTAGACCTTCGCCACTGTTAGTCTCGAAAACTCATAAAACAATTTATCAATACTATTTTACTGTTTAAATTTATATTTAAGCAAACAGAAAGTTCAGCTTTGTAACAAGCGCCACCCATTTTTATACCCTGAACAGGATATATTAAGTTTGCCACGAAGTTTGTAACACCCAGAAGGAAACGTCGGAGACCCTATAAAATATATACATAAATGATCAGCATGATGAGCTGAGTTGATTTAACCATGTCCGTCTGTCTGTATATATACAAACTAGTCCCTCAGTTTTTATGCTATCGATCTGAAATTTTGCACCTGTCCTTTTCTAACTGCTCATTTGTCGGAACGGCCGATATCGGACCACTATAGCATATAGCTGCCATACAAACTGAACAATCGGAATCAAGTGTTTGTATGGAAAACTCTTCATTTGACGAGGTATCTTCACGAAATTTGGCACGGATTATTATTTGAGGCAAAAATGTAATCTCCGAAGAAATTATTCAGATCGGATGGCTATAGCATACAGCTGCCATACAAACTGAACAATCGGAATGAAGTGCTTGTATGGAAAACTCTTTCATTTGACGAGGTATCTTCACGAAATTTGGCATGTATTATTATTTAAAGAATTAATCTAATCTCCGAAGAAATTGAATAGATCGGATGACTATAGCATATAGCTGCCATATTAACTGAACGATCGGAGTAAAATTTTTTTATTTGATGAGGTATCTTCACGAAATTAGGCACGAGTTATTGCTTAAGGCAACAAATTATTCTCTACAGAAATTGGTCAGATCACTATATCATATAGCTGCCATACAAATTGAACGTTCGGAATCAAGTTCTTGTAAGGGGCCTTTGTATTTGTGAAGAGTATTATAGCTTCGGCGCAAGCGAAGTTAACGTTTTTTCTTGTTTTAATTTTATTTATATACGTACATACTTAAGTATCTTATCAGCCTAAAAACCTATTTTCATTTTGTATTTCCTGTGTTGCAACCGACGCATGTGTGCAAAGTGTCATGGATAAATATATCGCAATCAATACAATAAACTTGGGTGCACTTCTCACATCGGTATACATTTTTGTCTGCTGCTTCCGTTAGAGGTTTCTGGCATGCATAGCAATTCGCCGCCTGCCCATTGAATTCTAACTCGGTGAAATGTTGCACTGGAAAGAGATGATGATAGGATCGAGCCAAATGTGGCGCTGAAACCAATGTTAAGCCACATGTCTGACATTCAACCGGCAACTCGCAATATTTACTGAAACACTGCGGGCAATGGTAACCTCCTGACGTTAACTTACTCGGTTCTTCTGTATTTTCTATGTGACACATACACATTGAAAGTGGTGGATCCTTGCCACAATCAGCCTTAGCATGAGGAAACCCCATTTTTATTAAAGAATTTTCTTGGGTTTGCGCTGCTGGTGGTGGATCTACATGCGCTAATAACTGGTCACGGTAATGAGCATCATCAAGAACAGCGCCATAAGAGCCTTGAGTTTGTTGAGTTAAATGCCGACAGACATGTATTTCAGCAGATAGTGAAATCACTGAGCATCGTATGTTATCTGCTTTGAGGGCATCTACAGTACTATTAATGTCAACAGGATCGCACGTGGTCAATGAACCCATAATTATTAGTATTTCCCGTGAAGCATGACTGGGCACGACTTTTAACGCTTTCATAGCTAAGTCAAGACCGTTTTGCAATGAAGGTTCACTAGTGAGTGAAATTTTACTAGCGCTAAAACAATTGGAACATATATACTAAAAAACTTTGTTTGTGTTCTTAAAAGTCATTATTTACCCTTCCAGTGCCTTTAAATGAAGCTTTGATGTACCGGTTAGTTCCGTGAGTTTTTCGGCACGTTTTCCCTTCAGAACAATTAGACCCAACTGGCTTATAGGATTCTGATCAAAGAATTCTTCAATAAAGATTTCTAAAAGCTAAAAAAGATTCAATAATTAAACTGCAATGTATTTAAATATAGTTAGCGTACCTTAATGGTGCATAACATTCGAGTGGGTTTCAAATCCGGCACGGTCATTGATTCAGAGCAATCCAAGACAATATAAAGGTGCCGCATCATTCCCAAACGGTTTTGTTGAGTCTTTTGTGCCTGTCGTTTACGTTTCGCTTTTTGAATAATCTCTGCTATGGCGCCATCCAAAAGACCGTCATCATCTTCCTTTATAGCTTCCCTGAGAACCACAAACACATTGACATGAGGCAAATTGCAATAATTTCGCCAAGGAAGCTCCATATATACCATGTTTTCTCGTAGCCAGTTTCCCAGCGATACTCTTTTGGATCTTCTCCATCTATCTCTGCCATTGTTGATATCCTGTTATACTAGTTGGAAATTGCAAAATCAAGAACAAATATTCGAAAATGTCACTAGGCAAATATTAAACAGATGTTTTATTAACAAAAGTCTGACTGATTGATGTTGCTAGAAGATATGGACATTATTTTTATTTTCTTACAAGATGGTTGCAGTCTATATTGTGGCGAACACGAATACCAGAACATGTCAGAATTGACGATAATCTGCCAGAAGCAACTAAACAGCGAATTCGTAGTTGCCAGAATGTTCTAGTAGCGAACTTTTGTTAAAAATTTACTATATAAGGGCTGCCGGATTGTGCAACAAACACAGTTCTAATTAGAGTGTTGCCGTGTAAAGAGCAATTAAGCTATAAGCAATAAGTTGTAAGTTCGAATAGCGAACAATAAGTGTTAAGTTGTTGGACTTGAAAAGAAAGATAAGTGTATAGCATTAAATTGGGACTTTAATTTAACAATCCAGTGATCGAGCTTAAAAGTGAGTTATAGTTAGACGATTTATCGAGAAATCCGTTACAATTAGTGTCTGAAGTGGGATTGTCAAATAATTCCCAAGGAGATAATTATTTAAAAAAGTTTAACGATCTAAAGATTCCACAACTGAAAAAGGAGCTGGATCAACGTGATTTGGCGACAAATGGATTAAAAACTGAATTACAATCACGGTTGAGAGAGGCCATGGAGGCGGAAAACATTAATGTTGAGGAATATGTCTTTCACATGGAATTAGAGGAAGAGACATAGATAGAAGGAAAGGAAGAGACTCAATACTCGTCAAAGATTGTGGGCATAAACATAATTTTTGCTGCAATATCGCAAATGTTGACACAATTTAAAGAGCAGGATGCACGTATAACCCAACAATTAGCAGAGGTGTCATCACAAATGTTGACACAAGAATCCCAATTGTCCTCGTTAGAAACGATGTACGTATATCAGCACAGGTGTCCTCACAGTTGGAAGAGCAGTTCGCAGCGCAAGATGCACGTATATCAGCGTTCCACGTTTTTAAGCTTCAATTCGAAAAGACGGCATCTTCAAATAATTGGAACGCTGAAGATAAAGTAGCTGCATTGTTCGTTGCATTAAAAGGATCTGCAGCGGAGATATTACAGACCGTTCCAAACTGCAAGGCGAGTAGTTATGAAACGTTGATGGATGCATTAGAAAGACGGTATGGTAGTGAGAACAGGAAGCAGATCTTTCAAATCGAGTTGCGAAATCGCCGCCAGAAAGCCAATGAGTGTCTGCAGGAGTTTTCTACAGAGATTGAGAGGTTAGCTCACTTAGCTTATGCACATAAGTCCATGGAATACATCGAGGACACGAAAATTCAGAGTTTCGTCAATGGAATACACGCTTCGCAGCATTAGCATGTCCAAAATTGACGTTTGCAGAAACCGTTTCGTATGCTCTGACACAGGAAACTGCTTCTCTGATTTGCAATCAACCATTTAAAGCTCACAAAGTAGAAATAGAGGAACACATTTGGGTGAACCAATTACTAGAAAAAATTGACAACATGCAAAAAGCACTGGAAAAATCTACGGAAGCTCATAGGAAAAATGATGGTGTGCTTAAATGCTTCAACTGCGGAAAAAGGGGCCATATTGCACACAACTGTAACCAGTCCAATAATCCAGTTGGACGTAAACGCAAAGCTGAGGAAGATCAAGCAAATGTGAAATCAAACCAATCGTTAAACTAAAGCGAGCCAACCGAAAAGGGCAAAGGCTGGCTCCCGCAAGCAAATTCCCTGTAATCTCCATTTCACAAATAAGCAGGAATACGAGTAACGTTACCATTAGTGGATGTGTAGACGGTAAAAAGCGCATACTGACTGTGGATAGGGGCGCATCACATTCCATAATTCGATCTGATCTGGTTGAGAAAGAAGTAAGACCATTAGCTGGGGCAAAGTTGCGTACTGCAACTGGAGAAGATACCCTAGTTCTCGGAAAGGTAACGTGCGAGATCGTAATTGGAAAGGCAGCCGTGTTACACAATTTTATAGTGGCAGAAATCGTTGACGAAGTCATAATTGGAGTAGACTTTCTAGCGAATCAAGGACTTAAAATTGACATGGAAAACAGGATTATGTCCTATAGAAATATGGAAGTGCCACTTATGTTCGGTTACGATAATAAGTACAACGTTAGACGAGTGATAACAAAAGAGTGTCAGCAGATTCCACCAACATCAGAAGCTGTTATTTGGGCAGAAATAGATGGAGACTATGGGTCAAACAAGTGGTGAATTGTTGAGCCCACAAATTAATCTACACCAAACTTACTTATAGGCAAAACCCTGGCTATGACAAGACTAGATAAACGTGTTCCAGTAAGAGTACTTAATGAGTGCAAGTTACCAATCAAACTCTCTGAAGGAGCTATATTAGGGCAGTGTCAAGAGATTGAGGCCGTGATAAATTGCGAAATACGTCTTGAGGAAGATTCCATGGACGAAAACGATATATCGAGTGAAATTAACGCATGGACTAAGGAACTAGAGGCAAACTATCAAACTATGGCTAAACAACTTCTTCTCAGATACTCATCCATTTTTGATAAAGACTATGCCAAACCAGAAAGAACCAAAGTTGTGAAACATTTTATTAACACAGGTGATGCAAGACCAATCCGCCAGGCTCCTCGAAGCGTTCCTTTAGCAAAACGTGAAGTTGTAAGCCAGACCATACGTGAAATGAGCGAAAGCGGTGTAATCGAACCATCAGAGAGTCCGTGGAGCTCACCTGTAGTACTTGTCAAGAAGAAAGATGGCAACATGAGATTTTAGTGGACTATAGAAGGTTGAATGATGTAACGAAGACAGTTATCCACTACCTAGAATCGATGATACACTGGACTCGTTACCAGCCACAAAATGGTTCTCAACACTTGATTGGAAAAGTGGTTATTGGCAAGTGGAGGTAAACGAAGAAGACAAAGAAAAGACGGCTTTCAGCGTTAGAGATGGTCTATGGCAATTTACCGTAATGCCCTTTGGATTATGTCACGCTCCTGCTACTTTTGAGAGACTTATGGACCAGGTATTAAAAGGATTACACTGGAAGACCTGTTTGGTATACCTCGACGATATCATCGTGTTGGGTAAAAGCTTCGATGAACACCTTAAGAATTTGGAAGAGGTTTTCCAACGGATAGCTAGCGCTGGTCTGAAGCTGAGTCCGTGGAAGTGTTCCCTTTTCAAAAAGGAAGTAAGCTAATTAGGACACAAAGTGACAACGGAGGGCATTTGCACAGCTAATGAAAGGATAGAGGTAGTTAAAGATTGGCCCACTCCTAAAAATTTACATGAATTGCGGAGTTTCCTTGGACTGTGTACTTATTATCGACGATTCGTTCCAAATTTTGCCAGCGTAGCTAGTAGCCTCCATGAACTCACGAAAAATAACAGAGTTTTTGAATGGAATAAAGAACAGGAAGTGGCTTTCCAAACTCTGAGGAAACGTTTAAGTACTGCGCCAATGTTAGCATACACGGTCCCAGGATCAACGTTTATTTTGGATACGGATGCTAGTGGATTTGCAGTAGGAGGCGTTCTATCACAAGTCATTGATGGGCATGAGAAAGTGGTTGCGTATTACAGGCGTAGGTGAAGTGCATCAAACATTTTCATAAGTACCTTTATGTCCAGCGATTTCGGGGGAGGACAGATCATGCAGCATTAAAATGGCTTCTACAATTCAGGAACCCTGAAGGACAGTTGGCACGGTGGATTGAGAGACTCCAAAGTTACGACTTCTCTATAGAACATCGCAAAGGTGGTAGTCATGGAAATGCTGATGCCATGTCCCGCCGTCCCTGTAATCTAGAATGCAGACATTGCTCAAAAGCTGAGGCCAAAGAAGACATTATAGATGTCTGATTAATGACTATAACATCAGACTGGGATCCGGAGAAGCTACGGAAATGTCAGCAAGAGGATCCAGATTTGAAAAGTGTAATACACGGATTGGAAATTAATAAACGTGCAACGAGAGAAGAAATAGCTGCAGAAAGCCCAGTCGCAAAGGCTTATTGGGCACAATGGAATAGTTTGAAGTTAGTGTCTGGCTGCTTGCATCGCGTATGGGAAAGCGAAGATTGGCAAAGTTTACGAGCTCTGATGATTGTTCCAAAAGTAAGAATTCCTAAAGTTGTCAACGAGCTGCACAACGGTCCAAGTGGAGGACACATGGGTATCACTAAAACCTTGGAGAAATTAAAACAAAGATTTTATTGGGTTGGTTGTCGTCAATCAATTACTGAGTGAACCGCCAATTGTGTCGAGTGCATTGCCGCTAAAGGGCCGCGGTCCAGGAGTCATGGTCAGATGAAGCGGTACAATTCAGGTGCGCCGTTTGAGCGAGTAGCCATGGATGTAGCTGGTCCATTACCTATCAGTAAATTAGGAAACAGATATGTTTTGGTAGTCATGGACTATTTCAGCAAATGGCCGGAGGTATACGCAATTCCTAACCATGAGGCAGGAACAGTAGCGGATGTATTCATCAACAATTGGGTATCGAGATATGGTGTTCCAATAGAATTACATTCTGACCAAGGAAGACATTTTGAATCAGCGCTAATACAGGAAATATACCAGAAGCTGTGTATCCGGAAAACCCGTAAAACTGCACTACATCCGAAGTCCGATGGCATGGTAGAACGATTCAATCGAACTTTGGAAGAACATTTGAGGAAAGTTGTGGACAAGTATCAGAAAGATCTGCTGTACATGAAACAACGGGGCAGACTCCAGCAAGGGTAATTTTTGGTAATGATCTTCGACTACCGATTGATTTAAAATTTGGAATTAACGCCAACGGAGGAAGGAATACTAAGGAATTCAATAGCATCCTAGAAGACGAGATGAGAGATATACATGCTATGGTGAGACAGCGCACCAAAATTATGAGCGATAAGATGAAAGCAAAATACGACAAGGCAACGAAAGAAAGGGTTATCTCCCAAATTACAGTGTAATTGGGAAGGACCATACCAGGTTATTCAACGACTCAATGATGTAGTGTATCGCATACAGACAATTGTAAGACCAAGGAATAAAATGAAGGTGGTTCATCTGGAACGGCTTGCAGCGTTTGATACCGCAAATATGTCTAATCGGGACGATCAGACTTAGATAGAGGGCAGTGTGGCGAACACGACTACCAGAACAAATCAGAA